TTCCCTAATGAGGCCTCCTGCCGCCGGTGCCCTTCCACTGTTTGGTTTCCATTTGTAGACCGAGGTAAAGTTCGCAAACCAGAACACTACTTCTGGTTTTGTGGAGTTCATAAATTGAATCGTTCATAAACAGGACTGTTCTTAAACTGAGGTACCACTGTACCTAGAACACTAGAACAACCAAGCCATAACCCTTCTGGTCTCACCAGGAAATTACCTGTAGCTTTCCTAATGAGATCAGAAGAATTGTGACTTGGCTATGCTTTGCTTAGTATGGTTCTTCCTGTTGCTTGGATGAGAATAATTCTGATCTTTCCTACTGACCTCTTGACAATATCTCCTTCAAGCTGAGACAGTAACATTACAAATGTCTTTAACAGAACCCTGAAGGAATTACTTGCTGAGGTTTGATCATTATATAAATGCCTTGATAAATGTTATAGAAAACTCTTTAAACAGCATCAAGGATTGCATAGTAGAACCCTTGGTCATGTCCATTTTATTCAATTCTCCTGATATATTTGAGTTTTGTACATGTTTTCTGAGTATCCCTGAAGCAATTTAAGTACAGGTAAATGCATTCCTGTTTAAACCACTGCCTAATTATCCAGCTGTTTGGGATGCTTCTTAGGCTATTTGGAGAAATGAGTTTGTTACATAGTTCTATGAGTCACTGAAGCTATTAAAACCAGCTAATAGTCTGGGTCCAATTTTCTTCTCCATAGACGTTATATAATATTTTAAAACAAACCATTATTTTCCTCCAATTTTCATACCATTAAAGTAAGGGGGAATACCTAGCGGTAGCACCATTATTGGTAACACACAATATGAAACTCATTAACTATCAATAATTTAATAATGATCATCCATGGCGTAAATCAAAAGAATGGGTTTTTATCCTATTACAGGCATTCAATGCCAGGATGTCTGTGTTATCACCCTGCTTTGTTACATACATTTAAGCTGCTCCACTGGCCCTTCTTTACAAGATTGTTTATTTCATTGAAATCATTTAAATATATTTTAAACACCTTACAATTTAACTTAAAGCATCAAATAAAGAATGACAGAGTATCAAAACATTACAGACAAAGGTCAAATAAAACACACTTTTAAAGCAGCAAGGAAAACAAAATATTGAACATAAACGTTCAAATAACTTGTAGTTAAACGCCAAGTCTGGTGTTTCAGCTGGCTAAAGATCTTTTCTTAAAGTTCAGTCTGTCGCAATGTTACAATGTTCTCTGATCCTCACCATGCAAACCTTGGAAGATAAAGAGATATACTAGAGGGCCTCATTAGTGGATCTCTTAGAGCAGGCAGATTTATTGCAGGGGTGGGTTGTTGTTTTTAGGTTTGTAGTCCTAAGCCATTTTAAAGCAGGCATGGAGAACTTGTGGCCTTCCATATGTTGTTCAACTCTTAGCAACCCCAACCAGCATGGCCAATGATTGGGGTTGATGGAAGTTGCAGTTCAACCACAGCCAGAGCCAGAAGTTCCTCAGTCCTGCTTTAAAGATAAGAACTAGGATCTGGAATTATGACAAGGGGCCAATGCCCTTGTGGGTACAATGAGCGAAGGTTTCTGGTCTTGCACCAAGAGACTTCCTGTCGTACTTCTGGTTTCCGGTGGCTGTGGTCAATTTGAGCAATGTGTGTCAGCACCCTAATATAGCCCATTAAGTTCAACAGGATTGAGATGTGACTAGCTTTCTGGGGCTTCTGAATGAATTCACATGATAAATGACAAATGAAAAGATTAAACCAGCTTTTCTTTTGAGGAAGGTGAATATATTTCTTGATCAAAGTAAATATATTCAAGGGTTTGGGGCAGGGGGAAAGAGAGTGACACAAATTGGCACTGTCCTGATTCTATCTATTCCAGTGAGGTATCTGTGTTAGTTTGTAGCTCAAAAAGAGAACATAATAAAAGCTCATGGCACCTTAAAAGACTAACAGATTTCTTGTGGCATAAATGTTTGTGGAGCCAGCCCATTTCATCCTTATAAGATATAAGGTATTAGGTACTGTACAGGGAAGTGGGGAATTGTACGTAAACTGTGAATTCAAATGATTGTGACAGGTAAAAAGTACAGTCTGAGTTAAAGCTTAGATGCATGCAGAATAAACACAGTGACTATTCATAGCCACAGTAATTGTTGACAACATAATCAACCTAGAATTGCTAAGTCAATAAACATCTCCAGCAGTGGTTTTCAGCTTGTGTGCCGTGGCACCCTGGGGTGCTTTGAATGATGGTCAGGGGTGCTGCAGGCAACATTGGCCTTTGTCTCTCTTTCTTTCCCTCCCTCCTCTGATGTGCCCTCTCGTCTCTGCCTCCCAAGGGCTTGCACTACTGTTTATTGCAGCAGCCTTGGATATAAGCTCTGAAGGTGAATGGCGCCTCTGGAAGGCACCTCTCTTTGGGGTGGGGGGCAGCTCAGAGACCAGGGATGGCAGAAGCAGCTGCCCGGAGGGAACACTCCACAAGGAAGGGTGTTCAAGAAAGGGTGAGGCAAGGGGTTACATAACTGGGCTCCTGAGTCCCACAGGGGTGCCACAGTAAGAAAGTAGTTGGTTAAGGGAGCTGCAGACTCAAAAAGGTTGAAAACCTCTGATCTACAAAAAGACAAAAAAACATAGAGCTGGAAGGGACCCTGAGTCACCTAGTCCAACCCTCTGCAATGTAGGAATCTCAACACATGGTCTCCCATCCAATTTGAAACCTTACTGGATCCTGCTTAGCTTTGCAAATGTGCTAGCCAATTTATTGCTGCACCACTTTCACCCCTATTCAGGTATTCCCAGACAGAATCAAAATTCTCAGTAAGTTCCAATTCAGTATTTCTGAACAGGAGCCTCCCCTTGAAATCCCCTAGTGGGAGAATCACAACTTTCAGGACAGCAGCAGAGTGCCCCTGGAGAACTGAAAGAAGAGTTGTGTTATTAAGTGAGAAGGAAGCCTGTGTAGGCAATAAAGAAAGGTCAAGAATAAGGTGCCTGGGTTCAGTGCAAAGTGTTAGGTTTATAATGAAGCTGTTCTGGTGAGGCTGGTTAGGAATGCAGAGAATATAAGCAGATGGGAAAGATCAGTTAACTGCTGACTTCTAGAGCCAGAGCAGGCAGCAAAGGTCCATTTCTTTTGGCTAACGTCCCAATGGTCCAATATTACATGTGCCAAATGTCTCTAGATCCAATCCTGGCAGAAGCCTCTGGTCTAGCCTACATACATAGGAGGGGTAGGATTAATATATCAACCTCAAACTGTCAATGTTTGGCACATCTGACAACATGGTTGATTCCCAAAGAGAGGAATTAAGCACAATAACTTTGAAAGCCTCCTGCTTTCTTACAGCTTCATATGGGATGAAGCTCCTGCTCTCCAAGTCATAAGACAACACATTTCCTATTCGAATTCTTCCTAGAAGGCTCATTTTGGTGCATTGTTTTATCTTATCTCCTGACATTTAGACTAATGACTGGGATGTTGTTTATATTCTGCAGAATTTTCCATTTTGACCCTGTCACTAAAAATTAGCCGAAATGTAAACTACTCTAAAGAAATGTTGGATTTTAACTCAACTCCCCCCCCCCCGCCTTGATACTGCAATTAAGGAGCTGCTGAAAAAAGACAACTGAAATATTTATTTAACCGTGCAATATTATGTATGCCAATCTACTTGGAAGTTGGTCCTACTTTGTTCAGTGAGGCTTATTCCCTAGAAAGTATGATTCCAGCCTTAGTCCTGCATCTTCCTCCCCTTGATTCTGTTTAATTGTAAAGCAAACCTTCTACGTTTGCCACATTTCACCTCTACTTGCTGTACTGTGAAAGAACTGAAATCAGAAGAACCTACCTCATACTGAGGGAAACCAATGGCCTACCTGGCTCAGTTCTGTCAACACTGACTGGCAGCAGCCCTTCAGAGGTCCAGACCAGGGACATTCCCAGACCAGTATCCCAGGAGATGCTGAGGATTCTACCTGGGACCTGAAAATGCTATCGAGCTTCTTCTAGCTCTTGGCAGCTGAAAATCTGCTTCTAAGCACTAGCTACAGATTAAGCCACTAACTGCAAACAAGCCATGTTGGCTTCAGGTTTTGGAGGGGGTAGGGAGCTCTGGCAAGATGCCCCCAGGGACACCCTGCTCCTTGTCACAGCCATCACGTCTTCTGGGCCCCATGGACAGAGTGAAGCTAGTGCAGATTGCAGTTCCATCTCCTTGCTTGCAGGCTTGGAGAGAGCAGTTAGCAAGAGTGATGGAAGGGTGAGAGGGGCAGCAGAAGCAGGGGGAGATTTGGGGTGCAGCCATGAATTCTCTGCTAGGGTCTAGGCCCTGGCACATGTCACAACAAACTTTCACAGCAAACTTCCTTTGGGCACTGTGCCAACTGCCTCCAGTATAAAAGTATTATTATTTAATAATATTACTTATTGAATTTTTATACCATCCTATGATATGTGTAGACAAACCATTTTCTCTGTTCCAGGATGGACAGATAACATCACACTATGAGTGAATGTCCACATTAGAACATAAGGAAAGCCTGCTGGATCAGGCCCATGGCCCATGTGATCCAGCGTCCTGTTCTCACAGTGGCCAACTGGTAAACCAATCTACCTCCCTGTAGTTTCTTGCAGTTGGTATTCAGAAATATCACTGCCTCTGACCATGCAGCTGGAGCATAGCCGTGATGGCTAGTAGCCCTTGATACCCTCAAGGAACTTATCCAATCCCATTTCAAAGCCATCCAAGATGGTGGCCATCCCTGCCTCCTCCCATGGCAGTGAGTTCCGTAGCTAAACGATGCAACGTGTGAAGATGTACTTTCTTTTATCTGTCCCAAATCTCCCAACATTTTCTCTTCCCTTCCCCTTTGGGTCTGCAGGAGCTCTGCTAAGCTCGGAGATGTTTGTCATCCTCATGCTATACCTCTGGCTGGGGATCGGACTCGCCTGCGCCGGCTTCTGCTGCCACCAAATGCTGCTGATCCTGCGAGGGCAGACGCGGTACCAGGTGCGGAAGGGGGTGGCGGCCCGGGCCCGTCCTTGGAAGAAGAACCTGGAAGAGGTCTTTGGGAAGAGGTGGCTGCTCGGACTGCTCATCCCCGTGCTCAACGTAGGAAGCGACTATCACAGGCAGAAGGAGCAGTGACGCCGTCCGGCACACAGGTGCGCACACGCACACGTACATGCACATGCGTGGGCCATAATGGAGTTGCAGCACTTTGAGGCGCTTCTCTTTCCCTCCCCACATCTCAGCCTTGCCACCTACAGGAAGGGAGGCAACTATCAAGCTAGCTGGGCTGATTCTGTATTTTAGAAGGGGAAATTGCGGCCCGTGTTATATATGAAGCTACAGCAGTAATCTCTGGGTTGCTAAAAGCGTTCATCAGACCAACCCTTGGGACTCTGAATCATTTTCTCACTGTGCCCCTTCTCACAATCTTCTCCCTTCCCACCTTGCCTTTCATGCTTAACTTGCCGTAGGAGTAGCAACAACAACATCCCCCAGCATCTCAAGGTAGTCTGCGTTGCTCTGAGTAGGCTGTAAGCACAGCAGATACTCCTGTGGGATTTGCCCAATCTGTTACTTGAAAGCTTCTTCTTCTTCTTTTTTGCAGTTTTTCAACTGACCCCAATATAGCAAGGAGCCGGTTTCACAAGAACAGCAGAATGTGGTTGGTGAAGCACTTTAAGGTGCAAGGAATGACAACTGCTGGGGAGGCAGATGGTATATGCCTGCACACTTCAGAGATGACAAGCATTTCCCTGCCCATTTCTAGTTGCTCCCCTCCCCTCCAACATCCAGGAACGATAGTTAACAGCCTGAGCATGTGGCCTGCCCAGGGTAGCAGGTCTGCTGGCTGATTTTTATTTTTATATTTTTTAGAGAATGAGGTTCGTTTTCAACCCACTTGCCCTGATCCCTGACACATAGAGCTGTTCAAAGCCCATCTTGCCAATAGGATGAGGAAACAAGCTTATTTGCGGTGAGCACAATGATGGCAGCAGGGACAGCAGGCAAGCGTATGTGAATGGAGCGATTGAATGTATGAAGACATTAAAGTTCTGGACTGTCTTATACTGAGGCAGAGCACTGGTCCACTGAGCCCACGATTGTCTGACTTACAGGGGCTCTACATCAGGAGTAGGCAACCTCAGGCCCATGGGCCGGATGCTGCCCAATCGCCTTCTCAATCCAGCCTGCAGATGGTCTGGGAATCAGCGTGTTTTTACATGAGTAGAATGTGTCCTTTTATTTAAAATGCATCTCTGGGTGATTTGTGGGGCATAGGAATTCGTTCATCCCCCCCCAAAAAATATAGTTCAGCCCACCACATGGTCTGAGGGATGGTGGACCGACCCACGGCTGAAAAAGGTTGCTGACCCCTGCTCTACATGATTGTAAGAAGAAGTATTTTCTAAGCTCATTCCGTTAACTCACAAGTTGGCAACCCACAGCTTGGTGCCGACAAATGGCCCTCCACCTCCTCTTTAAGAGGAAAAGATGGTGAGAGGGAAGCTGTGTGCACATTACTGTGGCTCCTGTGCACTCTCACTGCTGGTGTTCGAAGCTGAGTGCACACGACCATTAGCCACAGTCCATATGCATCCTGTAGTTTCTGCCGTTTAATGCCTTTCCCCTCAGACCAGCTTCTTTCCAATTTGAAAACGTAAGTCACAGTTAAGCAGAGATGCGTTGCACTTCAGCCATCCGTTGCACATGCGCAGAGGACAGCACATGCACAGAGCATGGCTTCCTTGAATAGGAGTTTGGAAGGTTTGCAGGTGTGGGAAAACAAGCCAGGAAATGACAATGTAAGCATGTGGCTTGAAATGCAGCAGGTGGAAACGACCCCATTGTGTACATGCTCAGAAAATGAGGGGATGAGTGTTACTGGATGATGGACAGATGTGTGAGTGCAAATGGAGGGATGGATGAAAGGAAGAGAGAAGCAATGTCTCCCCGCTCCACCTTTTGCTTTGGCCTGACCTCTCACCACCAGTAAGTGTCCCCGTCACTTTCTTCTGATGGAACACAGCCTTTGACACCCCCGCCCCAAAGCTTACCCATTTAATTGGAGATGGCAGGGGCTGAACTTAGGACCTTCAGCACCAAAGCTGTGTGCTTTGTCACTGGACTATGGGCTCCTGCCTTCTCAAGGGACCTCTCACATGGAGGTGTACCCAAAGAATGCATTGTTGCGAATGTGAGAGAGGGGAGTGAATGAGCAGAGGCTGGAGAAGAATGGGATGGTGTAGGTGGAGGGACTTATTTGAAAAGTGAGTTGTGTATGAGAATTAACAGGGGTTTCTTTTCCATCATGCTTATGTTGGAATGAAGGAAGCATAGTTTATGTACTTCTATGTGTAGCCAGCCCTCCCCCATTGCATGTACAAAAGCCAACTAGAATGGCAATGGAATTTTACTTCAACATTAGGAATGGAGGAGAAAGTTGGTTCAGTATGTATTTAAAACTGGATCTCTCAAATCTACACTTTCCAAAACAATATGTGAACTGAAACACAAGCTATCCTTTGAAATTTGCACTTATCCGAATTTTGGTTCTTCAACCAATGTTTACAAAAATGCATATTTTAGGAGACGCGTGCATAAAAATGAAGATATTGGTGAAAATAATGTTCACAAATGCATTATGTTGGGGGAAAGTGTTTGTCAAGATGTGTACATTAATCAAAGTTGCTTATAAAAATGTGTTAAGAGAGTTTGCACTAAAATGCTGATGATTTTGCAAATTGCTTCCAAATGTGGAGAAGTCAGTTTAAGATGGGTAAAATGAGAAATGAAGAGAGCCAAAACTGACAGTTCCCTATTCAACACTGGTGATGGAACAGAGTCACCCAGGGCGCCATGGGGCAGTAAGCTAACCCTGAGGACACACAGCACCGGCTGCCTGGGGCAACTTCCTAACTCTGTCTAATGGCAGGGCTGGCTCTTTCAAGAAGTTGCTTCCATAAGGAAATATCTGCTACCCATTCTGGCCGACTAATGTACAATCTGCCTGACAAAAGGAAGAGCAGGAATGGTTGGCTAGCAGCTATAGCAGTACTCTTCCTTTTTCACCTTTGGTTAACCCATTTTGCAGCTTTTTAGTGGTGTTGCAAAAAAAACAAAAACAAAAAATTCACTGTGATCAATGACATGTGTATGTACACCCAGGGCAACAATGCCCGTCTTGCACCACTTTCAGCTTTCTTCAAAACTCCCATCAGTCTCCAACTTAAGAGGGCTCGAGATGTAATTTTGCATGTGTCAGGGAGCAACCAAGTGAGATAGTGAACTGAATTATTGAAGGGAAGACTCTAAGTAGCAGCCCTTGAAGGCAGGCCCTCAAATTAGCACTTTGTAATAAATAATTCTTTCATGATTAATAGGGTGAAGAGTTCATACCATACATGGACGATAAGAGACATTTCAAGGAAGAAAACCATTCAATCTCATTTTTTTATTTCTATTTTTATCATCCTTCCGCAGCCAAGCTCTGTTCCATATTCTTATCCTAATCATGACTGCCTCTTGGGCCACACCAACCTGTTCTGTCTTAAAACAGCCTCCCCCAATCTGGCACCCATAATGTTTTGGGCTACAACTCCCACCAGACACAGCCAGCCACATAGTCCAAAACATCTGGAGGGCACCAAGTTGGGGAAGGATGTCTTAGAATGATGCTTCTAGCAACATATTCATTCAACTCCATGGGGGCAATTAACTTAGTTGAGTCTAAACTGCAGGGATTAATCAGATCAGTGGAGAAGCTGATATACAATTTGGACGCACACCCATTGCCCTGTACCAGAACCCTATAGTGGAAGGTGCCTTATTTTTTTAAAAAAGGTAACAAAATCTGTCAGCCTCTTTCAGCTAAGCACATTTTATGCTGGTGCCCATATTGGATTTTGCAGACATTGAAAATCCATCACCTTTTCCACAGTTCAGAAATAGATATTTGTGTTTCATTTATTTTTTAATTAGGAACTTACATCTTGAAAATGGAAATCTAAGCACATGCGCTAATGCTGAAATCTGCCCACAGAACAACCCCACAAACAAAACACATTTTACCTTTTTCCATATGCAAATTACCTATTTATTTTTTACAGCTTGACCCCACCCTTTTGGTACCTGTGCTTTAAAACGACAAAATCAACAACTGAAACAATTAAAGCAGAATAAACACAGAAAATAAATGAGCAGCATTTAAAACCTAGCAGGAGCTCCGAAGTTAAAATTAGCACAGACTATTTATAAGGCTAGGTGGGGGGGGGAGGTGGAGAGATATTCAGCTGGTGCCAAAACAACACAAAGAGGAGTACCAGGAAAGTTTGCCTGGGAAGAGTGTTCAACAAAGAGGGCACCACCATTGAGAAGGCTTTCTCCCCAGTCATCATCCAGCTCACCTCAGAGGGCAGAGGCACCCGGAAGAGTCAACATTTCCTCAACATTCAAGTTAGGGCAAGTGTCATATTTGTATTAGTAACATAAGGAAACCTTAATGCTGCTCTTGAGTTGGCTGGAAGAATCACAGTTACCAATTGGTGCTGGATCTTTTCCTTTCACAACATGGTTGGTTCACATTTGGTGGAGAGATGTGGTCCAAGGAACTGTCCAAGTCATATTTCTCACATTTCCATTGACAATAAGCTTTGGCCATGTCCTTGTCACATAGCTTTGTAGTGCCAATATGCACACACAAGAAACAAATTAAATAAGCATATTCTGAAGAGGTGTTTTGACGTTGAGAACATCTCAAAAGAAGAAATTGCTAACAGGTTAGATAGATGGTAGCACACATAGAGAAGTGGCTTACTAAATAAGACATGTGCTTGCATGAAAACGCCTTTATTTACCTAGCTATCTCCTCTGCTGCATTTTCACACATAACAATAAAATGTATTGATTTTTTAAAAAATAAAAATAAAATTGTCTCTTCTGTGCTGTGATCTTTAACTTCTCTTTTGGGAAATGGGGAGGAAGGATGAGGATGCTAGATTCTTAAATAGCATAAACAAAAGAATTAGTTTTATTATTACATAAAATATTTCAAGTTAGCCTAGCAATTAGATATCAGGTCAGTGTAAAAATAAGGCCAAAAAGGGTCATGCCAGCATCATAGAATTTTAAACCATAAAATGATGTAGCTTATTGATTTTCTCTTTCTCTCTGGTTCTACAATGTGTGTCCCTTGTGTAACTACTCTTGGCTTTTCATTTTGGACTCCTTAAATCTTTAATGCTAAATCTCTTATATAAGAAACAAAGATTCATGAACTACTGCATGCTACGTTTTCAACATCAGAGAGTTCAGTCCTGGAAAGTTGAGGAACCTTAGGCTCCCCAGGTGTTTTTGGATTACAACCCCATCAGCTTCTCCAAGTTGGCCAATGGTCAGGAATGATGAAAACTGGAGTCCAATAGCATCTGAAGCACACCAGTTCCTCCACCCCTGCTTGCTCATAAAGATCCTCTGGAGAGACTCTCCTCCAGAATTTATCCCATCAGCATGTGAATTGAGTTAGGCTGGGTAGCAGGAAAGGACTGTCCCCATGACCATATGCAGACTATAGAACTCCCGGTTAAGGGAGACCTTTGCTTGCTCCTTGACGGTCTTCTGTCACCTTGTGATGACCGTTTTATTTTACCAGGCTTTTGGCCTGCCACGTGATTATTTTTATGTTCTCTTTTAAGAATTTTTCTTTACAGAGTTTTGTGTGCTATCCTAGTCTCTTTTCGTATTGTTTATTTAGGGGTGTGTGTGTGTGAATGCTTGTTTACAAAGCTATTGTACTACCAACCTTACTGTATGCTTGTGAAACAATGACTTATAAACGCCATTGCCAGCTCCTTGATAGAGTCCATCAATGGTGTCTCCGAAAATTTTTATACCTCACTTGGGAAGACAGGCAAACTAATGCCAGTGTACTGGAAGAAGCAAATGTCACCAGTGTCGAAGCAATGATTCCTCAACATCAACTTCCTTGGACTGGTCATGTTGTTTGCATGCCTGATTATAGTCTTCCAAAGCAACTAGTCTATTCCAAACTTAAAAATGGAAATGTAATGGTGGTGGTCAACAAAAGAGGTTTAAAGACTCTCTCAAGGCAAATCT